TTTTTTTTTTTTGAGACAGAGTCTCACTATATTATCACCCTCAGTAGAGTGCTGTGGCATCACAGCTCACAGCAACCTCAAACTCGTGGGCTTAAACCAGCAGTTCTCAACCTGTAGATCGCAACCCCTTTGTAACAATGAAAATACATCCTGCATATCAGATATTGACATTATAATTCATAACAATAGCAAAATTATAGTTATGAAGTAACAACATGAGGAACTGTATTAAAGGGTCACTAGGAGGCATTAGGTAGGTTGAGAACCACTGGCTTAAGTGATTCTCTTGCGTCAGCCTCCCAAGTAGCTGGGACTACAGGCTCCCACCACAATGCCCAGCTATATTTTTGTTGCAGTTGTCATTGTTATTTAGCAAGCCCGGACTGGGCTCAAACCTGAACCCACCAGCCTCAGTGTATGTGGCTGGCACCCTACCCACTGAGCTATGGGCACCAAGCCTGCTCTGCTTACTTTTGATAGAATTAACTCTAAAGAAAAATTCTATTTTACATTATCCTCCTATTTTTTACTTCTGACATAATGTAGCTCTCTAGACTCTATTGCTAAGATACTTACGGTGATGCAATATGTCCTCATGCATCTTCCCTGATGGTGATGTGCTCTGATAATTTAAAATAGAAAAGTGGACTAAACTGAGAGGCCCCTAGCAAGACAGAGGCCACTGTTGTTGAGAGGATGATCTCTGGACTTGGACATTGCTTTCCCCACCTGCTGGCTGACACTGGGCAGGGAACTCAAAATCCTTAAAGGCTTTAAAGTCTTTGTAAGATGGTCATAATAGCACACATCTCATTAGGGTAGTCTTCAGGATTAAGTGAGATATATTTGTAATATGGTAAGCACAATGCCTGGCATTATCCAAGTCAGCTTTAAAAATGTTACCAAATTTGGGTGGCTCTTGTGGCTCAAAGGAGTAGGGCACCGGCCCCATATACCAGAGGTGGTGGTGTTCAAACTCAGACCCGGCCAAAAACTGCAAAAAAAAAAAAAAAGGTTAGCAAATTTGTCTGGAGCCAAAGAGGTAAAAGAAAATTAAAAGTTACCAAAATTTGAATACCAGAAAAAAATGTATTTCCTGAGGAGCTAGTTCCATCTCGAACAATAACCCTACTCCTAATCTGTGCAGCAAAGTATTTAATAGAAGAATTTTAGAGATTCTAAGAAGCTCATTTTCCTTCTCTCTGCCTTCAGATATACATCAATCAAGTCTGTGAGGATGTCTTCTCTGGTCCCCTGAACTCCGCTGTGCAGCTGGCAGGACTAAGATTGTTAACAAACATGACTGTTACCAACGACCACCAACATATGCTTCACAGTTACATTACAGATCTGTTCCAGGTGTTGCTTACTGGAAATGGAAGCACCAAGGTATGAAGCAGTTATTAGATGATGTATGAAGAGTTACTACATCAAGACTTTAAGATTTAAATTGAATTTCCAGGCTACTTGCCTTAAGTTGATGTCCCTCAAAAAAGAGGAAATTTAATGAAGGTTCACATTAGGCCTAAGAAAGTATATAATTTTTATCCCCTAATAGTGCATTGCAAAATTAACATGTGAAAATCATCTGTTATCTCCCTTATCAGTAGATTGATGTTGATTTGGCTTTTGACAATTACCTTTTATTGAAGCAAATTAGCTAGCTTCCCCCTACCAGATGTAGGAACAATTTGATTAAAAGGAGTCTTTGAATAATAGTGATGGTTAGTTGAATTTTTTGCTTCACTCAGTGTTCACAAAATGATTATTTAATTTAGCCATTATTTGTAGTAAATGAAGTGAATTGAATATGTGAAAGATGTCTCAGTGCATCACTCTGTCCAGTTACGCAGATAGAGGGCAACAGAGAGTTGAATCAAGGACTTGGGAGACAGCCTATGAAAGTTTCTTCAGTAAATCCTTCATATTAGTGTGCAATATCACAATTGCCATTTTTCAAGAGAAGGTAGCATAAAATAGAATGTGGGCTAGTGAAAAGTTCAGAGGAGTTGATTGTTTATCAGGGTGTTACTGTATTGGTCTGTATTCTCTGGGGCAGTTCATCAGGGTTTTACCATATTGGTCTGTATTCTCTGGGGCAGTTTGATACCAAAATGGCACAAGCATTTTAGAAGGACTAGTTGTGGGCTCGGCGCCTGTGGCTCAAGCAGCTAAGGCGCCAGCCACATACACGTAAGGTGGCAGGTTCGAATCCAGCCCGGACCCGCCAAACAACA